TATATATATAATTTCCACTGGATTAAAAAGAGTTAACTTCCAGTACAGGCAATGTGGCTCAATAATGTGACACAGAAAGCTGCATCCTGGATGATGCCTCTGTCTTTTAATCTAGACTTTATAATTGTTGCTATGCAGTCTAATTTGGACATATGTTGAAAAACCTAAATTTGAAGCCTATGCCAAATGCTTCCTCATCCCAAGCCCCAAGCCCTAAATTCAAAGAAGTAGTCGCCCAAATCTGGTAAACGAATGAAACAGCACAGGCATATAACAGAGCACTGCGACCTGCCGAGGGTTCGCGAAGGTTCTCGCCTCTAAATCGGGATACCAGCTCCAAATGCCCGCAGCTCTCCGCAGGGGCCTGGAACCCTCAAAGGTGAGTGAACGTTTCCGCCCCAGGCCCCACCTCCACTGCGCGCGCCCGGGCCCCAGGAAGTGACGTCACGTCATGGCAACCGTTGCCAAGGAGCGGTCTCTAGGAGCCCGCTGGCGCTGGGTGACTCCCAGGAGTGGGGTGGGGAAGTGGTTTCGGGAGGAGAATTTGAGGTAACCCCGCTAACTCTCGGTCCGAGCAACCCTGAAGCCTGAGTCCGGGCGAGCTCGGCTCGGTCCTCTCGGGTCGGTCTGGGGGTCGGGCCGCGCGGGGCCTGACGGGGCGCAGACCTGGCGGAGCAGGGCAGACAGGCCCGGGCCCCGGCTCCCAGTCCCCTCGGCCCCACGCCGTTTCTAGGACTCGCTGCTAGGCGCGCGGCCGTCCTGACTTGTGCCAGATAAAACCGTGTCCTGGTTTCCATTTCTTGCCCCGGCCCCCTCGGGTGCTGCTGTGGGTGAGTGCTCGTGAATTAGCGTGGCCAGGTTGCGCTACTAGAGGGAGAGTAATTGCTTTTGCTAATTTTAGAGCGCAGTGCCCACCGGGCTCAGAATGCCTGTCTGTCCAAGTACATCTTTGTCCTCAGCGAGGGCCTTTAAAGCTGGGGGGGCTTATTTATTTTTTTTTTAAGCTTTTTAAAATGAGCGTGTATTAGCTACACATAATGGGTTCCATTGTGCTGTCTTCATACATGTATAGAGTGTTTTGATCGTATTCACCAGCCCCATTCACCTGTGTTCTTCCCTTACTACTCCCCCTGCTCCGCCTTCTTTTTCCCACCTAGCCTGCCTTCTACTTCTGTGTGTGTGTGTGTGTGTGTGTGTGTGTGTGTGTGTGTGTCCGCGCCAAAGGGTTTCATATGGTACTTTTCAGGAGCATGGGTAACTTACCAGCACCACTAAAGAAAGTGCCTTTCCCTGCCCTAGCAACTTTTAATTGCTTATAAATTTACTCATGAGCCTTCAGACCCCAACTGCTCTCTTCTCTCTTCTTAACAAGTTTTGCCTGTTTATCCAGGTGTTTGGTTTGAGTTTGTGTTTTTGAAAGAGGAGAAAAGACCTGTTGATAATTTATAATTATTTTAAATAAAATATATATGGATAGAAAGGTAGAAACACTTTTTAAAGTTGAAAAGTTGCACCTTGAAGCTTAAAGAAAACTTACATAAAGTTTTTCCCATTTTTTTGAAACTGGGTCTCCCTGTAGCCCCAGCTGGTATTGAAGTCTTACTTCGGTAGGCCAGGCTGGTCTTCATCTCACAGAGATCTGTGTGCCTCTGCCTACCTAGTGCTGGGATTAAAGGTGTGGACCACCACGCCTCACAAGGTTTTCCTTTTATATCAACTGGAAGGAAACTCAAATTTACAAGCTATACTAATTGTGCTGTCCTTTTTGATTTTTCTACAATTTTAATTGACTCAGTTTTATTATGAAAAAATATGAATATCTTTTGATTTTGATGTCTTCTAAGTGTAAGCTCCACCCACCCAATTAAGAAACCCATTTCAAACCTGTTCTGGTGGCACATGCCCTTAATCCCAGCACTCTAGAGGCAGGCAAATTTCTGTGAGTTGAAGACCAGCCTGGTCTACATAACACATTCTGGGCCAACCGGGCCTACATAATGAGACCCTGATTTAAAAAAACAAAAAAACAAAAAACCACCCATTTCAGACCAAGATGCTCCAACTTGAGTAAAATAGTCTTTCTATTTCAGGGTTTTTCTTTTTTCTTTTTTTTTTTTTTTAACTAAGAGCACTGAAGTAACTTTTTCTTCCTTTGTCTCTTTCATTTTTTCCCCCTTAGGTTAACAGGATTCTAATTGTGTAGCCCAATCTGGCCTCAGACTCTGGCTCCTTCTGCCTCAGCTTCCCAAGTGCTGGATTACAGATGTGTGTCACCATGCCCAAGAGTTCATTTGTTGTTTTTTCCAACAGGATCTCAAGTAGCACAAGCTGCCTTGAACTCAGTATATAGCCAAGGATCAACTTCAATTTCTGATCCTCCTGCTTCTACCTCTGAGTGCTGGAATTGCAGGTGTGTGTAGCCACGTCCAGTTTATTTGGTGCCAGGGATTGAACTCAGGGCTTCATACATGTTAGGAAAGCCCTCTGACCCCAGCCCAGCAGTTCTTTTTTAAATCGTTAAAGCAATTTACCTTGGTTTTAGCAGCTAAGAAATGCTGTCTTAGCATTTTAGAATTCAGATACTCAATTTTTAAAAAGTTATGATCTTTCATAACCAGCCTTATTTCCTTTAGACTTAGACTTTTTGTTTGTTTGTTTTTTGGCCTGAGGCCTGTAAACAAGTTCACTCAGCCTAGTAGAAGTCACTATTTTAAGCTCAGTGCATATTCCAAAATGGAATTGAACAGATCCTATCCTCATGGAATTTGCAGTTTTGCAGAGAAATAAAGTGCACATAAGGAGCTAGAACAACCAGCCAGGCATGGTGGGCATACCTTTAATCCTAGTACTTGGGAGGTAGAGGCAGGTGGATCTCTGTGAGATCGTAGTGAGTTCCAGGCCAGCTGGGGCTACAGGCAGACCCTGTGTCTAAAAACAAAACAACAACAACAAAAAACTCTAAAAAACTGGAATAACCTAAAAAGTAGTCCTAGGAAAGCAGTGCAGATAGGAGTGTGGTTGGGGGGAAGGCAGGCACTGTTCCTCTGCTTCAGAACTTACACTTGGGCAGAGTTTGAAGGATGCTTGAGATCTGCACCTCCAAAGGAGAAGAAAGGAGGAACCGTTATTCTAGGCAGAGAAAAGAGTAAAATTGAAGGTAGTCAGGTGGAAATACTATATAAGAAGCTGTGGCTGTGCTGAAGTTTCAAAAAGTGAAAGGTTAAGTTGAGCTAAAACTCAAAAATCTTGAGATATAAGAGGTTTAGACTTTATTTCATAAGAAATCAGAAGCTTACCAATGATTTGGGATGGAGAGAACGGAAAATTGGAGATGCTTTCCTTGTTGAAGGCAAAAGAAAGGGCTGAATTACTCTGGGTGGCAGAGTTGAGGTTCTGCCAGGCTAAGCTGGCAATAGAAATGGGTGAACAGTGCTTGGTGGAGACCAGAACCACACTGAAGAATATGCCTGGGCTGAAGTGAGGCTGTATTTGGCTTCTATGGTTGAGGCTAAGTACAAATAATGTGCTCAAGACTGCCAGATCGGATTTTCAAAAGGAACAAAATCTGGATTAATGTAGCAATGTCCCGATGTTTTAATGTGAATTGCCAATTAAAAAATAAGTAAAAGCAAGCCAGGCATGGTGATACTTGCCTGTAATCCCAACACTCAGGAGGCAGAGGCAGGCGGATCTCTGTGAGTTCAAGGCCAGCAGGGGCAAAGGGAGACCCTGTCTCAAAAAGATCAAGTAAATAAATAAAAATAAATAAAAGCATGTCTGCAACTATGTGTTTAACCCAGGACAAAAACTATGAAGCTTCATTAGGGGGAGGAAGTACTATAGGTAGAAGCCACTGCTCATTGAACAGGTGGTTGGTGTCAGAGTTGATGCCTATACAAAAACAATTGGTATTAAATATTAACAGCATGTTTTTTCATAATAAAATCTTCATTCTCTGATTTCTCTCTGGCCTTTTAACAGTGTGTTATGTCTGTATGCCAAATAGAGTTATACTTTTCTGCTTCTTATAAACTTAATTCTGACTTTCTCCCAATGCTTTTGCTATCAGGACTGAGGGATTTTTTTTTTTTTCCTCTTTAGTTTTAAGTCATAAGACTTAACCAATCATGAGTGATCAAATCAAATTCATTGTGGACAATCTCAATAATGAGCCTTTTAAGAAGAACTATAATTTAATCACATTTGATTCCCTGGGACCAATGCAACTATTACAAGTTCTCAATGATGTTCTGTCTGAGATTGACTCCAAGGTAAGTTCTCACTTTGTAATGAAAAGAGTGACAAGACAGCCAGGTTCTGCCTCTAAATAGCTGTTGAGTCTGGTGCAAATTAACTTCATTGAGCCTTATTTTCCCTGCTTGCAAAAGAATAGTAAATGATCTTTAAGATCTTTCTACTAAACCCAAATTTTAATTATCTACTTAAAATTTATATTACATTTTCTTTATTTTGTGTTCATATGTGGGCATGTGTGTGGGGCGTGTGTGCTATAGTGTGCATGTGGAGTTGAAAGGATAGCTTGTGTGAGCTGGTTTTTCCCTTCCACCACGTGGATCCCAAGGATCAAACTCAGGTTTTCAGGCTTGGCAGTGGGTGCTTTTATGCACTGAGCCATCTTGCCATCCCTCAATTATGTCCTTGTACTTTATTTAGACATTATTTCTCTACTTCAAGACACAAATTTGGTCCTGGAATAAAAATGCATTTTACAAAAGGTTTTATTGTATTGCAAGTTAGTTCTTGTCTTTCATAAATGTTTCCATTGGAGATTTTTTTTTTTTTAAGCTTGAGAGTCTAAATTGAATCCTGATCTGACTTGTGTTGCTTCCTCACCTGGAATCTGGGGCTGCCATACATAATCTGCTTTATGAAGAGCCCATTGTGTCTATTATGCTCTAGCAAAACAATGTTGTCAGTGACTTTAAATATTGTTCTTTGTTAAATATATAACAGTGACATTTTTCTATTTCTTTATTTGTTAGCAAGATGTTGATATCAGAGAGGAGATGCCAGAGCAGACAGCCAAACGAATGTTAAGCCTTCTTGGTATCCTCAAATATAAACCTCCAGGAAATGCCACAGACATGTAAGAATCTACTCATGTGTCATGCTTTCTTAAAGCTGTGCTTCACTGCCTGAACCTTCAAATGCTACAGTTGTTCTTTTTAGGTAACACCTGGTCCTCCCTAATTTGATGGTTTCAGGATATCACAGAATTTGAAAACAGTTTTAAACCTGCTAATATTTTGTCATGTTAAATGAGTCAGTTCTTTCCTCTTTAGCCAAAAAGTCAAGCAAATACCATCTTATGATTTATGTTATTCTAGATTAAAAAACAACTTAAACACTGCCCAACCAATGAAGTATTAAGGTTAACTCTGCCAATTAATGGTTTCAACGCAACTTCCTGGGATACTCTAGTGATATATTAAGGACCTAATTTTCTAATTAATTTAAGACTGACTTTAGCCTTGGGTCTATCTTTTAAAAGTAGATATATAAATCAATGAAAACATTGTAAATCAAAATTTGAATAAAGGCTAGCTCTTTCCAGCTGTATTGATCTCTCTCTCTCTCTCTCTCTCTCTCTCTCTCTCTCTCTCTCTCTCTCTGTGTGTGTGTGTGTGTGTGTGTGTGTGTGTGTGTGTGTGTGTATTTTTCTTTTAGGAGTACCTTTCGTCAGGGTTTGGTGATTGGAAGTAAGCCTGTAATTTACCCAGTGCTCCACTGGCTTCTTCAGAGGAGTAATGAACTAAAGAAAAGGGCTTATTTAGCTCGTTTTTTAATTAAACTTGAGGTACCAAGTGAGTTTCTTCAAGATGAAACTGTGGCTGACACCAATAAACAGGTACACAATACATAAACCACACTATCTATAATAGATTTTAAGATGCTTATATTCAATGTTAATCTCTCTTTAATTACTATTTTTATATTTCCAAGTGGCACCAGAAGGAAAAACAGTATCAGCTGATGATCAGCTATAGTCACGTCTTAAAATAAAGTCACGTCTTAAAATAATGAGGAAGAAAAACAAATACTGTTTTAGTAATAAGACTATATGAATAGGAAATAGAAACTCTGAAATTGAGATGTTAAAATACTTTTTTAAAATTAGTTTTTATTATATGTGTATGAATGTATTGCCTGTGTGTATGTGAACCCATGTCATGCAGTGCCCATGGAGGTCAGAAGAGGGTGTCAGATCCCCTCGAACTGAAGTTATGGATAGTTGTTAGCTACCATGTGGGTGCTGGTAGCTAACATGTGGGTCCAGGTCCTCTGCAAGAGCAGCTAGTACTCTTAACCGCTGAGCCATCTCTCCAGCCCTTAAAATACGTTTTTTTACTTAGTAGTCCTGAGTAGATAGATTCCTGGGCTAGATTCCTGGACTTGAGACTATAGAGCACTTTCCTGATCAGCAAGGTGACTGTGCAATTTGTCATCCAAATAAGAGAGAACCAGACTGTCGTAATAATTACGCCAGGACAAATGATAGAAATTGACACTGTTCCTTCAGTTGGAACTGGTGAACCTTCCTCATGGGTGAGCAGACAAGCCAGGCTTACTGTCTTAGTTGGAGAAGAAAGAGGTCTGGGAGTTTGAAGTCACAGTGTATTTTTCTCACCAGCATTGGGTTCTGACCTAAGATCTTTAAGCCCTTGACTACTGAGGATTCTGACTGGTCTGCTTCCTGGTCTTGTCCCAAAGTATATTGCTGATCAAAGGCTGTAGAAAGAGAGAAACAGGTTAGATTTCAAAAAATTTTGATTCAAAATAAATTACCCATTTAGGTTTTTGAACTTTTGTTTCATAGTAGTTGATTTGTGTCAGATTTTTTTGTTTTGTTTTATTTTTAGTTTTGGTGGTGGTTGTTTGAGAGTGGGTCTCCATGTAACCTCAACCACGCTGGCCTTGATCTCACAAGAGATTCACCTGCCTCTCCCTCCCAGGTGTTGGGATCAAAGGTGTGTGCCACCACACCCGGCCAATGATAGTAGAATTTTAACCTAGGGCCTTATGCATTCTGGCACATGTTCTACCACTAAGCTATAGTTCCAGACCCCAGAGTACTATACTTTTTAAATTGGGATAACAGTTGTAATGTTTTTCATTCATTTGACCACTCTTTATTGATTATGTATGATAATAGGCCCTGGGATTACAAAGTCATTCACAGCAAATATTTTTGCCTTCCTGGCTCTCACTGGTTCCTGGAGGGAGGGAGACAAATAACTAGTCTGTTACAGCATGGTATTTACTCTGATAGGCGCAGGGTCAGAGCAGGTTTCTCTGAGAATAGTGGTATTTATGCTAAAACTGGTGGACTGAATTTGTTACCCAGGTTAGAGGAGAGGAAATCAGAGTGTTGTCAGTGAGAATACATGTAAGCTGATGATGGGAGCATGGGCTATTCCAGGGAATGAAAGGTTAAGATGGCTGGAATGTGGACTGAGGAAGAAAGCAGCCAGAGATGGAACTAGAGAAGTATTTAGTAACTAGATTATACAGCTCTTCTTTTTCTTGTGCTATGTAAGTATTTGAGAATGTGAGGTGTTTTTTTTTTTGTTTTGTTTTTGAGACAAGGCCTTGATGTATAACACATGCTGGCCTCAAACTCATGATCTTCCTTTCCCAGCCTTCCAAGGGCTGGCTTATAAGAATGTATTTTTAATGTTCTTTTACTGATTTAAGTAATCAGTATAAGTTAATGAGTAACTTGGTTAAGAAAACACTCCTGGATGTAGTCATTAGTTTATAATTTATTAACTTATTTTTTTAGTATGAAGAGCTGATGGAAGCCTTTAAAGCTTTGCATAAGGAATGTGAGCAGCTCAAGACATCTGGATTTTCTACAGCAGAAATAAGAAGGGTAAAGAAGATACTATCTCTTTGGATTTGAATAATACTAGTGTTTTTTATTTTTAGTTAGTTCATGTAACTATATAGAAACTAGTGATAGTAAATGGCCTCTTTTGTAGGACTAGGACCTTTGGTAGGTTTGTGTGTGTGTGTGTGTGTGTGTGTCTGTCTGTCTGTCTGTCTGTTTATGTGTCTCCATGTGTGTATCTCTGTGTGTCTGTGTCTGTATATCTGTCTGTGTGTGTATGTTGTAGGTGTATGTGCCCATGTGTCTGCAGAGGCTAAAGAAAGATTCTCTTTATCATCTGGGCATGGTGGCACGTGTCTGTAGTCCCAGCACTCAGGAGGCAGAGGCAGGAGGATCTCTGTGAGTTCAAGGCCAGCCTGGTCTACATAGTGAGTTCTGGGCCAGCTGGTGCTACAGGGAGACCCTGTTTCAAAAAGACCAAAAAAAAAAAATTCTCTTTATCACTCTTCATTTCATTTTTTGAGGCAGAATCTCTCACTGAACCTGAAACTTGCCCTTTAGGTTAGTCTGCCAGCCAGCAAGCTCCTGAGATCTGTCTGTCTCTGTCTAACAACACTGGAATTACAGTCACATGCAGCTGTGCCCAGCTTTTTCTTTTGGTAGTTCTTTACTGAAGAAATAATGAGGCCAAGAAGTTCATATGTTTTATAGGGACTACTAGCAGGGACTTAAAAAGATTATATTTTGTATCTTTATTTGATGTATACCTCATATATGATAGAGAAAATGCAGAAAAGAACAAAGAAAAAAATTGTGTTGTGTATACACATTTGAAATCATACAAAACTTAATTATCTTTATCATGCTTTTAAAAAATGTATGTGTGTGCATGTCTATACGTGTGTGGGTTACATACATACACACACACACACACACACACACACACACACACACACGTACGTATGTGGAGGCCAAAAGACAACCTCAGGTATCATTCTCCGTAATGCTACCTACTTCCTTTGTCGGCCTGGAACTCACTAATTAGGTTACATTGATTAGCCAGCAAGGCCCAGATGTCCTCCTGTTTCTGCCTTCCCAGTGCTAGGATTACAAGTGCATGCTACGACGCCCAGCTTATCATGTAGCTGTTAGAGAACAGAATTAAACTCAGGTCCTGGCTCCTGCAAGGCAAGCACTTTACCAACTGAGCATTCCCCAGTCTCATTGCTTTTTAGTTATTACATTGTGAATGTATTTTCATTGTTACCTTTCTACAAAATGGTTTTAATGATTTATATTCCCTAATATGTACATATTAATCATTTTCAGGTTTTGGCTTCATTTTTTGCTATCATAAATAATGATATGATTATCAACATAAATTTTGCATATCTGTGATATTTTCTTAGAATAAATTTTTAGAATTGTTAAGTTACATGAAATTTTTTAGTTTTTTGGGGGTCTTTTTGAGACAGGGTCTCCCTGAAGCCCCAGCTGTCCTGGAACTCACTATGTAGATCAGGCTGGCCTTGAACTCACAGAGATCTGCCTGCC